TGTTTCCTTGTGTTGGACAAACAATTTGTTGACCTTTAAGAATAATAATAATGTATTTTTCCAAAAACATTGTTAAATCCCAGAAATGGATAGGTGCTAACATAATAAGAACAAATCATTTGCTCGTATATCGCTTCCTGCATGAGGCCCAATGCAGAGTTGTTATTGTTGTTTTTATTTTTATTTTGGTTTAACTAAAATAATTTTTTATATATAGTTTTAGTTTAGTTTGAATTAACTATAATAACTATGGCCCAATGCATGTCACAACAAACCCCCTGTATGAGCTTTAGGTTGTATTTTTTAATACAAAACGTTTTCCATTTGTAGAGGATGGAGGACCAAACGGGACATCTTGAGAAACCCTTGTACTTACTACTTACTAGCTTACTACTAAAAACGCCTTCAGGAATGCATTGTAGATTTCCTGTATGTAAAACAAACAGTTCACCTTGTATAGATTGATTAATGCACTTTCTGACATCATGTGCCTTTTGTGGTTTTGGGTATTTGCTGTCAGCTACGGTATGACCACTAACCCTTGAGCCTTCCAGTCTTATAATACTTGAGTATTATATTTTACATTGTTTTATGGGAGTGAATGTGTATATTTGTTTAAACTGAGGGACGGATAAAGCACTTTGAACAGAGTTGAACTGAAAACTAAAGTGCAAGAAGGCCCGCCTGAAAATATCTGATATGGTTGTTGCAATGTTGCTTGTCCAAAGTCTTCAATGATAGACCCAAACTTTGGCCCTCTAGGCCTACATTAGAGCAAAAAACGTGATGTTACAAATCCTACTCATAGGCCCCCGCCCCTTAAAATCTGATTTTCAGTGAGCACAGAGAAACTGATGAATGTCAAAACATCCTCCTAGTGTCAAACTCTGCGCAGACAGTATTCAGACCTCCAGCAAGAGTGGAGGGGGACTTTAAATAGACTTAAATGTACTGAGAGTGAAACTAAAGAGCACTTTTTGATGACAAACGCACTAACTCGTTTTTATTAATGTCTTACTGCTACAAGTGGAGTCTGGCTTTGACTTGCTGTTTACTGAGTGGAGCTCTGATTTCACTCTGATGTCTTTGATGCATCATTTCCCGCGCAGAGAAGATTTCCCGCCACTGATGATAGCCACACCAGAATTTAATTTGGGGCAAATCAGCATCAGAGTCAAGTGAGGGTGCAGTCTTCTCTCTCCAGCTGCCCATCTCAGTTTGATACAGCTGGAGCTTTGAGCAAAGGAGTCTGAGCAATCCTAATGTTTTGGACACGTGAATAAACATATTCTGTATCTTAGAGTGTCTTTTTTCCTCTTTCTCTCAGTGAACACAGACAGTGAGACTGCAGTGGTTAATGTCACATATGCATCCCGGGAGCATGCCAGGCAGTAAGTTCATCTCCTGTTGACTCTCTCTGTCTCTTTCTGTTACTCTTGTTTCTCTAAAAGTCAGTTTGTCCATTTACATGTCCACTGTCCACTTTTGTTTTAGTCTTTTTGTTTTATTCGTTAAAAATATCATTATTTGATAGTTTACAGAATACTCACATTTAGGCCTGTTAAATTAAAATCTATAATCAAATAACGCAAAAAATATAGATGCCTTGAATTGTAATTTGTTTAGGTTTTTGTAAATAAAACTGTAGTGAGAGTTTCAGCACCTTGTATGTTCTGCGCTCCACGAGTGACATCTACTGGTCATTTAAAGAAACTACAACATGAAACTTGCTTTTGAGTCTCAGCAGCATAATATCGAAGTAAAAATACTCAGTAGGCAACATATTGGTCCCCAGCGGAGTGTTATGTTCTATTAGTGCATTATTAGATGTAGTCTATATACTGTTGGGTAGTTTAATCTATTTCAATATGAGCAGTATACACTGAAAATACAAAGAGAAGATTTGAAACAAAGGATTTAATTTGGTTTTACTGCATGCATCTTGTTTTAGCAGATGATTATGTTTGGTATAAAAACAATTTCCTGTTCAAAGCAACTAGTTACTACAGCTGCAAGACTAATGTAATGAAAATGTAAAATATTAAAGGAAGTATAGTGCACCTCAAAATTGTACAATACTTGAGTAAATGCCCTCAGAAAAACAGTAATAATTTAAAAATGGCACTGTACAGATATGTGAAGTGGAAATATTAAAGCTTGTTTTAGTAATGACCATTGCTGCTAGTGTTAGTCTGTTAACAATCATTACCAGAAATAATCCACACTATAGCTGTAACAAAATGCAACATTAAAATATTCTAATGGGTTCAATGAAATATGGAAGGATGCTTCTTGTGCGCCTTCCATGCCAAGTGCAGTACATGACCCTCTGCTCCCGCCCCTCTCAGAGCCATCCAGAAGCTGAACGGATACCAGTTTGAGAACAACGCCCTGCGCGTCTCCTACATCCCCGATGAGAACTCCGAGCTGGAGGGAGGCCAGCGGGGGCCCGACAATGGCCGGCGCCCAGGCTACGGGCCTCGAGGCGGGCCCCGCGGTGGGTCCCCGAGCTCCGGGATGCCCTCTAAACCTCCGCACGCCGACATCCCTCTGAGACTGCTGGTGCCCACGCAGTACGTCGGAGCCATCATCGGCAAGGAGGGAGCCACCATCCGCAACATCACCAAGCAGACGCAGAGCAAGTCAGTGCCCACTTTATCTGTGTGTGACTCTGACAGGCCACAGTGTACTCCTGTTGTACTCACACTGGAAATGAACTCCAGTGTCATTTATGAAGTGTGACGCCCTTCAGAGCGGCAGAGTAGAAATGATGACATGTTTTTATAAATCATTCTTACTAAGTAACTTGTCCCTAAGGTTATTTATGTAATATATATTTATGGATCTATAACAACATACCAGTCCTAGAGGAAACGGATTAAAGTAAGGTTGTTTCTCATATGGTCCCCATATATTAAAAGTCAAACAAAATATATGTAATGAAACAATAATAGGAACTACATCAGACCAAACCCAAAAAATACATTTATTGCACAGTTTAGCTGTCAATTGACTATGCTACACAGAAGAAGCATAGCGAAAATGACACCGTATCATTGGAATATCAAAATGCCTTGTTTTACAAAACAGGTACTTACAGGCACTCTTGGATCAACAGATTAACAAGAGTGACAGCTCCAATATTATCGCTTAATATGTAACACTTGTATGAGACACAAATGGGACTTTACCATTTACCGAGTCAAACCATGCTACGTTGATGTGCGTTTCCATTACTGGTTTAAATGCACCAGCTCTGACAAAGCACGCTCAACTCCCCTTTAAGCTGTTTGCGGTGACATCAGATGGTCTTCGTCTGGTCAGCAACACTTTAAATAGCCTGTGCTGCCCGTGCCAGACATAGCAGACAGCAGTTTCAAATGTCAAGCAAAATGATAAGTAGCTGTCTACCAAACAACTGTTGCACAGCGTAATAGTAAACGGTGCTAAAGAGGGTGTTGCTCTTAAACATCATTAACTCAAGACAAACACATCCTCATTAAAGACACACCTCCAGTAGTCTTGGAGATGCCAATCCCTGCTGTGCTGGGCTGATGCGCCAAGGTGAACCGAGTCAAGCCAGGCCAGCACATGTGTGTGGAAAAAGGTTTAGTTCCCTCACACACAATGTTCAATCTAAAAATGCTTTGTTGTTTCTAAAATGATACAGTCTCCTGTATCAAACTAAAGCACATTCAAATTTTATTTGCTTCAGTGTTTTATTTATATAACTAATAATTGTAGTGACCTGATTTATAGATTCATGTGTATATTATAGAGAAGTGTTCCTATTGTAAAACTTGAACTGAACTCCTGTACTCGACTCAGGAAGTACTGAACCTAGTGACTTCATGAAGTGACTCTGATCTGTTCCCGTCGCTGCAGGATTGACGTGCACCGCAAGGAGAATGCCGGCGCTGCTGAGAAGCCGATCAGCATCCACTCCACCCCTGAGGGCTGCTCAGCCGCCTGCCGCATGATCCTGGACATCATGCACCAGGAGGCTAAAGACACCAAGACGTAAGTTTCTAAACAACAATTGGACATGTTGTATTCAAATATGGCAGCATAACTGGACAGATGACCTAATGAAGGCTCTATCTAGGAGTGACATATTTGGTATATTTAGTTTGTAGATAAAAATGTTGACCAGTGGTTCTCCTTTCCAGTGCCGACGAGGTTCCTCTAAAGATTCTGGCTCACAACAACTTTGTCGGACGCCTGATTGGGAAGGAGGGACGCAATCTGAAAAAAGTCGAACAGGACACAGACACCAAGATCACCATCTCCCCGTAAGACTCACAAATGTAGACACAGACACACACATTGGGCTCTCCGATTGTAAGTCTCAATTTATTCAGCATTGCAAATCAGGGTCATGAAGGGATTTTGGTGGCTGATAAGGCTGTTGATGAGAGAGAAGAATACTAGCATAACACAAGTACCTCAAAGATGCTGATCACTTCAAAATAAACTGATCAGCTATACGTATGTATGAGTAACCATTCTCCATCTCCTCTGTGCAGTCTTCAGGACCTGACACTGTACAATCCAGAGAGAACCATCACAGTCAAAGGCTCTATTGAAGCCTGCTGTCTAGCCGAGGTGGAGGTCATGAAGAAGGTCAGAGAGGCCTACGAGAATGACATCGCTGCTATGAATGTGAGTCTGGACACACACACACACACACAAACATCCTTGAAATCCTTTAATTATTTTTCGAAGTATTACCTAACTACTCCTCAACAGCAGAAGTAAATTAAATTGAATTTGCAGTGAAAGCTTTCTACAGTTAAAGCGTGGGAGCACCAACATTACAAGTGTGCTCATGTTATTTAATGAGAATATTGTTTTCCATGTAGGCCCTTATTCTGCAGAGTACCTGTAAAAGTACTCATGTAGTCGGGGTTCAAAAGATTACAATGGTGTTTTTATTACATTATGTCACTTTTCATGGTAGTCGGAGTTGTCACTGGTCGTCACCCCGTCATCTTTCATGTGCTCAAGATGGTTTCTAACCTGCAGTTTTCCTCTTGACAGCAACAGACCCACCTGATCCCTGGGCTCAACTTGGGTGCTCTGGGCCTTTTCCCCTCCTCCTCCAACATGCCCCCACCCCCGCCTGGAAATGCATCCGCTGGTGCCCCCTATGGTTGCTTTGGGGTAAGAATACCTGTTTTTTTTTCATTTCCTGAGAGATACGTCAGTGCAAACCACCTCCTTTTAACACATTGTTTTTGTCTTTTGAAACCATAATTACTACAGTTCTGCTGATTCTCCCCTCATTTGAAGGTGTAGTGGATTGAGAAAATTTTAAAAGGGTGAAAGAAATCTTTAAAAAGCCTCTAAAACACAGCAAAATAACTCAAATTAAAGTTGTTTTTCTGAAATGAATACTGAAGGAGCAGAAGATTGCTGTGTTTCTTGTTCCTTGATCAGAAACTGAAGTTACTGTCCCCTATTTTGGATCTTACACCAAAATTCTCTACTATGTTTTAAGACATATAAAACAACTCTAAATGTACCACTTCATTTTTGACAGGAGAGGAATACTGACTAAACTCCCAGTAACAATATATTAGTCCTATAATAGATATTCAGTTTATGTAGTGAATTTTTTGCTTTGTGTGTGTTCAGGCTCCAGAGCAGGAGACAGTCCATGTGTATATCCCAGCGCAAGCAGTGGGAGCCATCATTGGAAAGAAAGGACAGCACATCAAACAGCTGAGCCGCTTTGCTGGGGCCTCAATCAAGGTACTGTACTTTACAGAATTAGCAGACATGCTACATATTAAATATGGAAAAGTGACAGGGATTTGTCAAAATTATATTTTGTTACACCCGCCTTACACTTTTAATAAATATACAATACAAATATATTACTCACTGAATTGAATAGAATAGAATAGAATA